AACGGCTGCGGAGCGCTTTGCAACGCGGGGAAACGCGCTTTGTAAGCGGCGGCTGCGATGATGTGACCCGGGGGGGAAAGGAAGGAAAAGACAGACATTAAATGATGAGCTCGGGTTATTTCTCTGCTGCGCCTGCGCGGCCGGCTGCAAGGGCAACGCGCCTCCAGTCGCGGGGGATAGAGATGGAGCAGACGGGGCAAGGCGCCCCGCCTTGCTCCCTCTCTTCTATTTCTAGCAAAGATCGGTAAAAATCTTCATGAGTAATTGATATGAAAGCGATGAAGTTTCGCATTGCCTGCTAGCGTTCAGGAATTCGCCCTGCATTGGTGAATATTTACAGGACAAGGTGAAAGGAGTAGTTTTTTTCTTTTCCAAATGGAATTTTTAATTTTTTCAAAATGTTTCACTTAGAAATTTGTCTGTTTTTCAAGTCAAAAGATAGACTAATACAACAACCGGAGATGCAATGAAAATTGTTTTGACTTTTAGCTTCTTGAGGAGAAGAGCAGTTTTGCATTTGAGGCCAACCGTAGATAAGATTCCCATGTTTGTCTGATAGTTGAGTTTGACAGTGAACAGAAGAATAAATTGTTTTCTCAGCTCTGACTGGTAAGTCTGTCTCCGAGCTGACTTCGTTTCCCGTGTGCTGAAGCTCTTTCCTGCTCTGCGGGAGAGAGCAGCACAGAGCAATACAAAAAGTGCCACCGGTGTCCGTCAGCCAGGTTTGCGATTTTGCAAACCAAGAGACTTTCTGAGCTGTGTCTTGGCTTGCCTGCTGACGAAGCCATCCGTGAATAACAGCATCTCTTTGGCAAATAATTCTTCTGCGTTTGCCCAGAGGCCGAGCCCGTTTGCAGGGCGTCCCCGGCGGCCGCGGCTGCAAAACCTGCCGCCTTTATCTGTATGTTTAAAACGAGGTGCACAAACCCGGGTGGTGCCGGGCTGCAGGAGGACTGCCCCGGCGAAGACAGCCGGGGATGAAGTGCGATCCAGCACGCTTGCTTGCACGCCCGGGTGCTCACAGCCTTCCTGCTTTTCCTTGTAATCCAGGTGACTCACCTGGTGAATAAGAGGCCGCCGTCCTTCCGCTACAAGCCCGGAGACTACGTCTACCTGAACGTCCCGGCCATCGCGGCCTACGAGTGGCACCCGTTCACCATCAGCAGCGCGCCCGAGCAGCCAGCTCCGCTCGCCGGGGAGGAGTCGGTGGGGATTCCCGCGGTCGCCTAGCCGGCATCCGCTGCGGGCGGGATGCTCCGGCAGGCTCCGTCCGGGCTCGCGGACGCCC